GGGGGGGGGGGGGGGGGGGGGGGGGGGCGTGCATTACACAAGACATCAGCACGAGCTGTGCAATTGAGCGATAAGAGCCGATTTGGGTTGTTAGGTTTGTGATCAAGCAAAGAATAGTGGAAATAACTCAAGAATCTAATAAGTCTTTGTCAAACGCATTTACACATTTGCAACAAAAAAAAATCTCTGAACTTGAATGATCCCCGATGGCTTTCTTCAGACTTACTTCAAATAGATACAGATACTCCAGTGTGTCCAGATATTTATAGGAACATTTATGACACAAACCTCATCAAAGGATGAGGCGGAAAAAAGATGCTGACAAATGTTGGCTTGGACTCGAGTGCCATGTGATGTTTCTTACGCAATGATTAGTGTTATGAAAAGGCCCTGATGAAAAACAGCACATTTACTGAGCAGTGGTTCCCACTGGTCCTTGTCTGTAATGGCTTTGGCTTTCTTGACATAGGAAACCCTGACTTAGGCCAGTTCCGTGGTTTTCACAACAGTAAAAGGTTTCTGCTTCCCATAATTTCTTTTTTTTAAAACTATGATCGGACTCTAGCACGCAGCCAAAGATCAAACATGTGGAACTTCTCAGAAACCACATGTTGGCCACTATTTATGACTCCCTGAAAGGATAGATAAGTATCAATTAGTCTCTACCTAAATGGGCTTCAACTGGGTCAGGTCAGCCTCAGTAAAAGAAACACAATGTGGGAAAATCATGGGTGTGAAGAGTTTAACAGCCTCTCTTTTCAAAGTGGACATTTTGACCAGGAGCTGCAGAAAAGACATAGGTTAGATAATGTCTGTGATCCAATGTGACAAAGGTCCCAGAGTGGCTCTCTGTGAAACATCATGGAACAGAACATATCTTGAACAATTTGTGATAAGCTGTCACATTTCTATTGAGATGCATCCAAAAAAGAAAGTGATCAAATAAATAATGCAGCTTAGCTACAAAAAAACCCAACAAAAATGGAAATAAGAATTCAGAAACAAAAAGACATGAGATTAAACAAATTTAAGAATTTTATTGCCATGTCAATATATTTAGGATGCAGCCATTCTTTATACAAAAATAATAGATTTACGATCATATAATAGACAAAAGCACATACATTTACGTTAAAGTGATACATTTTTGGTTACACTATTTACAGAGGGAGGTGTGAGACCCCGATCACCAAATATACAAAAGCTGGACAGCTTAAACGATAAATATTTACAATACGTTTGACGGCCTGCTCCGGCGTCTAGCTTCTAACTTGCTTTTCTTCTGTGCATCAGACTTGTTTCATATATTTGTTACTTAATATAAATGACAGCAAAGATTCAGGAGCTTTTTTCCCTTAAGTGGTCGAGTGTGTCAGCGGTACAGATCCACCTGACTGTTAATAAGTTATTTGGTCAATGAGAGCAGGTGCTTTGATCCAGGTGAGAGATTAATTTCATCTAAGATTTGAAACTTGACTTTACACTGAGTCATTTCTAAATGGGTTCATCACTTGAACAGTTACACACTAGAGTGGAAGACAACTGGCTGCTTCACATCACACTTGTGAAGACTGATGTAATCTCTTCTTTTCTTCTTTTCCACCACTGGAACCTTTTAATTTAGTTTCTTTATACCCAACAGTATGTGTATATTGTGTGTGCGGAGTACTACATTAAACCAACGCACCCATTCCGTCTCCACGGCGCTCATTCTGGTCTGACTGACGTCTGCTACAAGGGAACACTTGACATGAGAAAACCAGCTGAGGGACGCTTGATATTGTTCGTTTTCCACCCTATTTACTCTGCTTCAAGGACTTCGAACTGCTTGCAGATGGAGCGTCTTCGTGACGTCGCTTTTGTGTGAACTGTCCTCTTTCTGCATGAGAAAGTGACCAAAAATAGAGGGTTATGTCAGACACAGGCAAAAAGAAAGCTCACCTATTCAAGAAAAGTACTTTGCAAGCCATGCTTTTTTTATCGCGGATCACATAGATCTTTTATGTGCAGACGCAGAAAATCCTTCACATCTGTGGGCACAGGGCCTTGGTGACCAATAAAACAACTCCATTAGTTCTTTTAGTGGTGTATAAAATTGGACTGGTGGATGTTTCTGTATCTAATGATGTTTTTCTGGCAGCACAGCAGTGCTTTTGTGATGCTCTGCAATAAAGCCCAATATTCATCTTCCAGTTGTCAACAGCTCAGAGCAGCCCTGCAGGCCAGAGATTTCAGATAGCTGATATCACGCAGCCTGTTACCAAAGTCTCATGGGTAGCAATTCTGGCTGTGAATGTGCCGATTCTTTGGTTGAGAAAATGCTGGTATCTTGACAGACAAACATCCTTTAGCTGTGATGGCTCGTATGAATACAAAACAAAGGCCTCTGTACCTGTTGGAGATGTTCCCTCCTGTAGTGAAGGATCCTCAGAGGAGCCCTCAGGGTCTCGAGCTGTCCCCGACCTGGGGCCGTTCGCACCGCTGCTGGGATTGGACGGTACGGATGCCAGCAAGCCTGCGAGGAAAACAAAGAATTGCAAATTGATCGCTCCGCTTCATTCTCGAAAATAATTGAGGAACACTGTCTTTTTCTCTGACATTACAGTCATTTTTAAGAGGTGAGATGTGGAACGCTGCTTCACAAATCATTTGAATGCCTGTGATAGAGACACATGGGGTCTGTTTTCTCAAAGAAAAGTCACTTCACTGGGTTAAGGACAGTGTCCTCACTGTTACCGTTTGTCCCGTGGGAATGACAAAAAAAAAAGAAACTTTATGTAGATTTACCTTTTAAAACCTGGCTGGCTGGGGGCAGCTGAAAAGATTAATATAAGCTCAAACACTTTTCTTTTGTTCCTTTGGCTCAGACACTACAGGCAAAAAGGACTCTAGGTACAGGATGGAGAGAAAACTGTCGACAGCAGTTTTATATCCAGTAAAGCGATCTGTCAGATAAACACACTGCTGCTGTGTGATGCTTAATGAGGCTGCTGGCAGCTCGAACATATACGTTAAAATATCGGTCTTAAAGAGAATACTGACAAAATTTTACTCATCAAGCATCCTGGTGCTCATTAAGAGGTGACAAACGCTTTCAGCTGCCTTTCAGTTGACAGAAAGAGGTGAATTTCTGAAGGTTTAAGTCTGGATGTCTGAGGCTGGTTAGCACAGGCAGTTATTAAAACGTTCTGCACCGTCATCAAACGACCATCCAAAATCAATTACATCCATCACACTTTCAGGCTCCGAGGTTGAAACAAGGTAACAGAAATATGTACCAGTAATTTAGAGCATAAGGTGAATGTAAAATCAAATTCTTATGAACTTTGCCAACTCTTTGTGGCTCTTTATTTCTCCTCCAACTTCATGTCTGCTTATTTCTTCCACCCCATCAGTGTTTTTTAATCACTGCCCATCAAGAATTCTAAGACAATACTACGTGGAGTGCATTTATCGGGCAAAGCGAGTCCAGATCAGTTAGAACATTTTAACCTTGATAGATACAGAGAAGTTTCCATGTTCCAGTCCCCCTGTTTGGTCATTTAACATTTGACTTGATCGGGGCCTTACCCAGACCTCTGTAGCAGGAAAGCTGCTGGTAAATTTGTTTCATTCTCTCGATGTTGATGCGGCTGGTCTCAGCATGGTTGACCATTGGTTTAGGGTAGTGGACTCCTATCATGCACTTGGCTGCTTTCTGCACTTCCTCTGGTGCATTCCAAGGATCATAGATGTATTTGGCTGGAAAACCCCTCAATACGGGCAAATAACGCCTGGGAACAAAGAAAGAAAAGGAAGACAATAGATGTTGAAGGGAGTAGAGAAGACGTCATTAATGTGGATCATAACTGCTTTGATGTGGTGCAGAACACATTCTCACAAAAAATGACTTAAAGGTCTAAATAACTTTTTTAAGTTTTTGTAATCCTAATGAAACCATGAGATATTTCCCCCCATGTGGGGCTACAAAGAAGCACAAGTTAACCATGAGATCGTGCTTTCCATTCCAATATCTGTGGGCAGCACAAAGGCACGGCGCTCCCAGCTTATGAAAGAGCAGCGCTTTCATGCTCATGTGATGCACAAAAAAGCACCGACTGACCGAATGTAGTCGCCGTTGGGGTCCGTGCGTCGTCCAAATCCCACAGGGCAGTAGCAGTGGAAAAACTGCTGGAAAAACGAACTGCAAGAAAGCCACATCCAGCTGCCAGCATTCACGCTCCAGTCCGCGTCCAGCAGCAGCTCTTCAAAGACCTACCCAACCAAACGCAAACCAGACACCCTGAACAGCGGAAACGGGCAACATTCCTCTTTTTTTCAGCCTTCATTTAACTGCAGAAACAAACATTTGAGGTTTGTGGTACGCGTGAACCGCGCTGCCTCACCTTCATGCCTTCCTCCCAGCTGATCCACAGATCCCCCCTGGTGACGAAACAGGCCACGGCATGCCTTGCCAAGTGATGGATCCAGCCCTCCTGCCTCAGCTGGGTCATGATGGCGTCTATCCACGGGAAACCCGTTCGCCCCTCTGCCCACTTGGCCAAAGCTTCCGGGTTCCAGTCCCAGGGGATCTGCACGCATACAGGGTTTCCCTCCATCTTGTCGAAGCAGGGGTTGTTGGTGGCAGTGGTGTAGAAGAACTCCCTCCACAACAGCTGGCCGTACAGGGACAGTGAAGGGGAGCTGTTCTTCTTGACCTGATGATGTTCACACAAAGCAGCACGCAGGTTTATTTTGCGTGATTTAAGAAGAATTGCACCACAGACATGCACCTCTTATGTTGCTAATATGAAGGAAATGAATGATTGGGGCATTTATACCTTTCTGTACAGATCAGTGAGTTTAAAGTAGAAGAGCCGACAGGAGAGACAGCCAAAGCGCAGGTAGGGGCTGAGCCCTGTCGGACTGGCCAGCAGGGAGTTGGCGTTCATACGTGGACGCTCAAAGTTTGCTACCCATGCCTGCAAAAGAATGTTTTTAAGAATAACTCTTAATGCAGAGTTATAAGAACACACTATAGCATTAAAAACTAAATGGCTGTAACTTTAAAATAGGATCTTATTGGATGGTATAAAATAAACAGCCTTTGAGTTTTGATGGAGTTGAGTGGCAAATTTTGAAATAAAACATTTTTTTCCCATATTTTTTTCACAAAGAGTAGAAAAGGAGCTTTACCTTTCTCTCCAGATGCCGCTCTAGCCTCATGAGGGCTTCGGTTTCTCCTCCCGGCCATACTGCAGTGCTGAGGCCCTCCGTCTCAAAACCTGTCAGTCAACCACTGCTGTTAGGCCCTGAAACCAGGAACGACCCCAGCCCGCTTACACACACACACACACACAGCTCTATGACATGAAAACACTTACCAAGCTCCTCCAGAGAGGGCACCCCAAACTTGTCGTCATGGTCGTCTCTGGTGGGCGTGACGCAGTTTTGAATGATTTCAGATGTGATGGTCTCTGTGGGCAGCTCCACAGCATCCATCCGGGTGATTAGAGTCAGGAAGCGCTTGTATGTGAGTGGAGGCTGACCAGCGTTGAGCTCTATAATCCTTTAAGAGAAGGAAATCAAAGCAAAGCACACATAAAAACGAAGCCCTGACGACATACACGTTTCTGAAATCAGCCATGTGGAGATTCGCTCACCTGTCCAGGTCATACAGCGTGTGGGAAATCCGCACAATGACCTCCACACCAGCCTCGCTGGCTAGTTTCTGAATTGCAGCGTCACGTTCTTTGCCGAACGGCTCAGAGTCTTGCTCATAGGACAGACGTGTGATCTTCCATTCCTATGTTTTGAAAGTAACCAACACACAAACATCAGTAAATGAACCCTAAATTATGACGTGTGATCCTTTATTCAAATGTGCACCGCATAGTCATCAAACCGAAGTTCCAGAGAGTGATATGACTTGTTTAAATGCGCATTTTGTTAGAAAAAAAAAACTCTGATTAATACAGCTGCTGATGATTTCTGATAGCAGATCAAAGGCAGAAAAATAGGGTTTGTCTTGTACTGAACTTCATTTGTACCTTAAAAAGCCGAGGGAAGACATCTGTGGGCTGGCCTCTGATGACAAACAAGCGGGAGTTAAGTTTACGAAGGCTTGCATCCAGGTCCTCTAAACACTGCAGCAAAAACCTGGAAAGACAGAGCGGTCATGTAATTCACACACCATGTGATATGCATCCAGCACACATGGACAAAATGCAGGGACGGGGCCACTAATCACAGACGTAGTTAATCTGACAAAGAGTTTAGCGACCACAATTTTCACAAAATTCTGAGTTTATATGTCACCTGGGAAACATCTGGGTTACAAATGGCAGCACTGATTCAAGGTTTATGCTGGTTAGAGGTGCAGCTGCAGCTCTAATCAAGCTGCTTTCATGCTGATGCTTTGCAGGTTAAACAGCTTAAAAAAGGGAAAAATAAATTTCAAGGAATCCGCCAAAATACAACTACCGTAAATAATGTGTAGTTTGACATAAAAACAAATAGTTTCTTAATCATTAAAGTGCATGATAAGTTAAATGTCATGATTTTAATGTAAAAAGGCCCCCCTCTGCTGGTCAATTAAAAAAATAATAATTCATTAACCAAAACCTCAGTGTAGCCACTTATTTGTGCTTTGGAAAGGCGTAAAAAAACTTACAGTAAAGTTGGGAATTAAACATTAAATGCAACAACATCTATGCTACTTTGTGTCAACCAGCACGTGGACATCAGACATAAAGCTAAACAACACAACCAACTCATCTGATCTTCGCAGAGCTGGCGGAAGCATGAAAAGCTCCGCTCTTTACAATCAATGTTTCTGATGGCGCCTGTTAAGCTTCACGGTCAACAAATGAATTACAGAATCTTTTTTTAAATGTTTGTGTGAAATGTACAGATAAATGACTCACTGTTGGTCTTCACAAAGATGATGAAGGGGCTTAACTCCTATCAGCTAAAGACATCCATGTGTACTTATTTTACATATGAATTCCTGTATATTCTTCAAACTTCTTGACCAGGATGATGGCTACACCACATGAGGTTCTACTGTGTTAAGGATAATATTCAAAACTGTTAATCTACTAAGATTAGGATCACTGAAACAGCACGCTACAAGGAGCAAATAATGAAGTGGAACAGTCAGTATGGCTGCCAGATATCTAAAAAAACAGCCTTGTGTAGAGAAACGAAAGAGGGGTCAAAAGTACACAGATAATCAGGTGCTACAGCTGAGCAAATGTGAGTGTTTAATTTAGGTCAAAGCTTTGAGTGGGAATGATGTCATGAGCATAAAAACACACTAGCCCCGATTTCTCATTTCATCCTCCACTGAACCTTAGGAAAAATAACTTTTATCATAATGGTGGTCAGGGAGCAAACTTACAGGGGCGTTTTATCAGCATGTCAATGGTTTCAGGTTGTCAGTTTGTCAAGTAACATTTGCTAAAACAGATACAGTACACAAATCTAGAACAAGTCCATCGAAGCTTTGATCTGCTGCCAGAGAAGGCATTTATCATCTTCAGACTAATCAATAATTCCACTGTCCTGTTCTGTACACTCCTGACCGTGAGCATACTCATCTGGACATAAACATTTCAGAGCAGTAAATTGAGCATTGATAATGAATGATATAGAGACAACAAATAAAACACTTTCCCACATCAAACCGTAAAGTTCTGCATCCTGTCATGAATCAGCTTGCATTTTCCAGTGATCTCTGGCTTGTTCACATGATTTTTAACAGATGAATGATGGCTTTTATTCCCACCAATGTCATGTTTAAAATTACAGCTTAGTCATGTGATAGAAATGCTGTGCATCATTAGCCAACCCAGGGCTCTTTTAAGAAATGGTAGCTATTTCTGGCCTCCTTTGTTGAATCAAGGAAAACCAAATGTGCTTTATTATAAAAAACACTACTATAGCACATGTCGGAGACTAAACCTTCTTTATAAAAAAATAAAAATATGGAATTTGGAGCATGTTCAGAGTTGGTATGCATTTTAAGAGGTTTTCAAATGTCAAGTTTTTACGATTTTGCTTGGACAAACCAAATTCTATAAATTTCTGTGTAAAACAGTACTTGTTTCTGTTCTCTTTGTCAATTCAACTTATTTTATGCTACTGCTACTCATTTTCTGTCCATATTGACAGTACACCTATTTATGCTTTTTTTAAACACAATGCAAGACAGATTTCCTGCTTCCTGCACATTTTAAACAGTTTCCTTACAGACACCAAACTGCATGAATATGCCAGGAAAAGCAGCCACCTGAAGGGCAGCATATGTTGCTCGTGTATTTTTCCACCATCCCAGGAATGTAGCTGACCGTTTCTAAGCGCACTCACTCAACAACTAATACAAGTCATGTTGGATTCCGGCCTCTGGACTTGCTGCTGCTTTTCGAGGTCATATTCACATGTGACACCATAACATTAAATGAATCCATCATATGATTTTATCCAAAGCTACTCACTAGAACAAAATTCAGTGTTATGCCTGAAAACACTTATATACGATATGAACTGGAGAAGTTAAGGACACACCAGCCACCCTCTGCCTAAGACAATCAAGTCTTTCTTTCCAAAGCAACAGCCTACATATCATGTGTCCTGTGGTATCTAATCGCTAGTGGACAGCTCCAAGTTAGTTGATGCTTGGATTGAATGTGCATCTTGAGTCAGCACTTGAGATCAGACCTTGTTCACTTTTCTTCATGGACATAAAGAAGCATAATTTCTATGTCAAAGGGTGAGCCGTCCACAGTGCTAAAAGATGGGACTTCAGCAGGTCCACTGATGTTTCTATAACGCTAAAAAAAAGAAAATCAAACCTATACTGCACTCTCCACTTTAGAATTGATCAGCAAAGATGCTATTAGGACCTGGTCTGATCAGGAGTCCATCCTAGGTTAGTACTTCAAATAATTTAACAACATACTACATATATAAATCCTATGGAAACTATCTTTGAGGGGCATTGTTTATAGATACATTTGAATGGATTAATCAAGCATTTCTGGACAAATTGGCTCCATACTAAAAAGACCCTAACATGAATAACAGATCAAGAAAATAATCTACACACCCCTCAGTTGTAACTGTATGGGAGTAAACAGGCCTGATTAAGGTTTTAAGTTCAGTGTGACACATGATCAGCTATACCATGAAACCATTTTTCCATACTGGTCCCACTTCTTCTAAGTCAATTCTCAAACTTACCTCCATCTGTTTATGCCCACATTGGAGGAGCCAGCGAACCAGGGATCCAGGATGTAGATGCACCGCAGGCTGTCGGCTCCCCGGATGGAGTCCCTCAGAGATGGGTTGTCATGCAGCCGCAGTCCTTTCCTGAACCAGTGGATGGTGTTGACCACCATGTCGCCCGTATTTGCTTACGCCTTGTAGGGTTAAACAGTGGGGGGGGGGAAGTGAGGAGTCCCTGAACCCAAAAACAAACCGTTCTCTTGTCTTCTTCTGTATCAAAACAGTCCCACGATGCAGTTTAAAACCTGCTGACGTCGACGCTTTGCCTGGCTTTAACCCTGCTCCATGAGTTTATCCAGAGTTGGGTCTGCTGACCATCACAGGCAGCATGTGTCCAGCATGTGTCCAGCAGGAGAAAGCCAAACGATTAGTAGCTGCGTTTAAAAGAAAACATCCAAAATGAGTAGTTTCTCCAGAAAGGAAGAAGTCACTAAAGCTAGTCAAATACTCTATTTTTGTTTGGCAAAAGAAGAGCTGCGCACGACCACCATTGACGCCAATAGCCTGCATACAAAAGTAAAATAGCGCAAAGATTTCCGGTTGTCTCCACTGACAGTCAGTCTCGATGTATTTCCTCAAAAATGCACCTGTGTAAATCGTACAACAATGTGTACGAACTACAACACCTTCGTAAATTCGGCCACGCAAGATGTCTTCTGCGTATCAACATCTCCACCCACAGGAATACTAAGGAATGAAAGGAGCGCCCTGATTGGTCTGAATCAGAAGTTATGCAACCGTTTACCCATCACGTTTCGCTAATGTGCTTTCCTGACTACTGTTTTCACCGCCGTTTCTGACTTTCAATTGTCTAAATGTCAATATTCGGTTATATTATTGCACATGTTTCCGTCAAAATTCATCACTGGGACAAAAAAAGTCACACAAACCCCTCAAGTCGCCTAAAGATACAGCTAATGGGATGCCTAGATTACAGTTACGAGGTGAACCCTGAAGTGCCCGGATGATCACATGTCACACGGCGAGGCTCGCCTGTATCTGTGTGTTTGATTTAATGCACGGGTCACACCGCTGCTTAGGGACGGTGCTTGTAGTCTCTCGTCTATGCTCCTAACTGTCCCGCCCACTCACAGGAGCAATAATCTCTAATCAATGTGCGCCACGTTGAATTACATAAAACCGTTAGCTGTGATATGAAACTTGAAGTGACCACGTTTCCGTCACTTGCTCGTGTATCTAGTTAATCTAATTCAATTAGATTGTTAAAATTAAGTGATGAAAATAAAAAGCTTAAATAAAGCAATGCAGAAAGACTGAATCTGCCATGCAGTCAGAATGGGAGATAACACATTAGAAAACTATGGAATAACTCGTGTGTTTACTCATGTGTTGTTGCTTTAGTTTTAGAACACATCTTCAGTCCAGACAATTTAAAGATCATATGAGTATTACAACAATTGATATCTATAAAATGATTAAATATTCCAAGATCTTGACATGAAACTGTATCCATTCACACAGAAATAAACTACATTGAAATTTGACATCCAGATGTGATCTGTGTAGGCCAGTTGATTTCATGAGAAATACTGTATCAGCTCTATTGCCCGTTCATTTTTTTTTCAAGTCAAAGGTTTAAGTTGGAAACCCATTGTTGATTGACATATTAGAACACCTTTGTCTCTGTTAATTGTACTGTTATTGACTTTAAGACTGCTGAGTTATAGAAAATGGATGAAACCATTAATGTAAGGCTTTTTAATGGATTTGTTCAACTATGAATCAAATAGGCTATCACTTCAGTTAATCTATGTGAACAGCAGGTGAAAGCATCACGAATACATACAAAAATAAGCAAAAAATGATATATAAAAGATACAACCATACCAGCAACACCACACTAACATTTGCCGGCAACTAATTTTTAATAGATTTTTTTTATCAGGCTACAAGATATCTTAAAATGGCTCAGATCCAGATGAGTAAACAGATTACATCTGTGTATGGAGGAGTATTTGAGGGCATCCTCAATCACAAATATATTTTTCACAACAGATAACTGAGAGATTTTTTACAAAAAGCACCATTTGAAATGTTGAACATTTGAAAGATGCTGTTCTTGTTGGTTTGCCAATTTGACGGGACTAATGAACTGTACAGCAGCTTAAAGACAGTATTTTCCTTTGGAATTTTGTGCCAAATCAACTGATAGGATTTGCAGTAGAATCATCGTTTCATCTTGGGTCTTGTGTATCTTGGGTATGTTTTTAAAATGTACATAAAAGTTTTGCACCGCCAAAGAAAAAGCAACTAATCTTTATCCCAATAGGGGTCACTGTCGCTCCAGAAAGCTCTATCCTGCTAATGCAGAAGTTACAGGATGCATTTGAGACGTGCAATACCCAGCTCTCAGGCATGGCTTTTCTTAAATTATACATTTATTTATCAATAATCTATTTTCAACCTACACTGCAAGCCCTCTCAGTATTTGACTGTATCTTACACCTGTTTGCTTGAATTAGATCCTATTTGCTTTTGCAGTGTCACTAATTATTTTCATTTCATTATAATGAACTGGTTTAACTTCAGTGGTTTGCTTGAGAGAACACTTAGATGAGTGCATTTCTCATCTGAACGTTGTTGTTCGTAGCTGACTTACTATTAGAAAGCCTGTCGTGTATACACGAGGACCAAACTTAAGATGGACCCTGTGAGTGATCGGGTAAATGACCTTGAAAGTAATTCAGATCTTTTCAATGAGTTATCCTCCAGAGGAGCACGGGATACATTATGCATGCAATCTATTATTAATGGGCTTGAGTCGTGTTACTATCAGACATGGGCTATCAGAATATGTTCTGCAAAGTCTGATCCTATGGACTTGTCACTTATTCCTGAAAAAAAAACATTGCAAAAATGTCCTATGTTTTCTTTTGTGCCAGTTTAGGAGTTTGCATTTTGCCTGGCTTTATTTCAAGTTATTTCTTTGTGATTTCGTTTTTTCAATTTACTCAAAAGATAAGCAGACCGTTTATACAATGGGTTTGCTGTTTGTCTTTATGTTCGTCGTCAATGTGAGCTAAATCAATTACTTTTATTGATTCTTTAAAGTTGTCCAATTAAAACTCTTTTTTGTCTGTTTCCGAGAGCCCATTGGCTGTCAGCTGCTCGGGATCTCGGCGGCCCCGCCCCCATGTGTCAGGCACTGTGCTGGTACGGCTCCGTGAGACTGTTGATGCACTGAAATACCGCAACCCAACTTTCTACTTTGGTGCTGGCTTCACTTTTCCCCTCAATAGATAACAACAAGGAATCCTTAAGGATCGTGCGCACCCGGACTCCAGCCTCTTAAATATTTTTTTCTCTACTTTTCCCCTAAGCTTTCTTTTGCATTATGAAGTGCAGTTATGGCAAGGAGTAGCAAGTCAGTAGCAAGGACCCTGGAGGATTTGACGCTCGATTCGGGTTATGGTGGAGCCGCCGACTCCTTCAGATCTTCCAGTGCGTCGCTGTGCTGCTCTGAGGCGCATGGGGGGAACCACTGGCATTTAACCGATTCGATGCACAGTCGCCACAACAGCCTGGACACTGTTAACACCGTCCTGGTCGAAGACGCCGAGATCCTGGAGTGCACCGGGCAGTGCGCTAAACTACCCGAGCTTGAGGATGTGCCATGGAGCCTCGGGGAAGTGGCGTGCGCATTAAACAAGGACGAAGAGATGAGCCTACCGACCCCCCCGCCGGACGTCCTGCTCAGGCTCTCGGTGCTGATCAGCCGGGTCCTGGTCAGGGTTGCCAAAGAGTCCCAGCGCCTGAGTTTGCGCTACGCAAAATGCACTAAATACGAGATCCAAAGTGCCATGAAGATCATCTCGTCCTGGAGCGTGTCGGTGAGCTGCACCGGGGCGGCCCTCAGTGCCTTGTCCCTGTACAACATGAGCACGGAGGGGGACAAGTTCAGCCGCGGCAAGTCGGCGCGCTGCGGACTCATCTTCAACGTGGGGAAGTTCTTCAGGTGGATGGTCGACAGCCGGGTGGCGGCCAGGATCCACGAGCACGCCGCCATCTACCTGGCCGCCTGCATGGAGAGCCTGTTCCGCGAGGTGTACGCGCGGGTGCTGCGCAGCGCGCTGCTGGAGCGCGATAACGGGATCCCCAAATTCACCGTGGAGACCTTAGAGCAGGCCGTCAACGGCGACGCAGAGGTGTGGGGCTCCCTGCAGCCCTGGCAACACCTGATCTGCGGGAAGAATGCAAGCGGTGAGTTGGGCAAAGTGTAAGTCAGTGCAACAGAGTCTCTCTCCACTCTTCTCTCTCACTTTTCACGCAATTTCAATGAGTACGCATCTTCTTGCACGATATGATGTGACATTCACACACGTTGTTCTATATATATATATATATTCATCAAAGTAGAAATTAAGTCGTGCATACCACACAAATGTAGTGATCCTGTAAGGACTGCATGCAAAGGCTTGTATACACTCAGATTCTGTCAGCTGCTTTGAAATCTGACTTTGAATCTTGCACCCAAAATGGTGCATCTCAATCAAAGACAGCAGGAGGAGCAGGCCCATAACAGGACTAAGTCGAAAGAAAGGGAGAGTCTTACCTGACCAGCTCACCTCCTCAGTTTTCAATGCAGCGCTGGGCAGGCGGTTGTTTAAAAGCCATCTGCATGCAGCTGTTTTCACAAAGCAGACAGTGATGAGGATTGGCCCAATATCCTCAGGTGTAGTGACTCACTCTGAGAGCTTTCAGTGAAAGGGCCTTCCCCAGCTGGTTTCTCTTAGTGATGCCCTGCAGAAGTGTGTATTTCTGCTATTCGGTCAAAAAGGAAGGAGGTTTTTTCATTCATTCATCCGCGCACATGTGCTGACTTCTTTCACACAAAACCTCAGTGACACATTCTGTGTTTGGAAATGTCGTTTGGTCTGTGGTTTGAATGAGCTCAAAAACAAGCGACTGGACTTCACTCCTGCTTAATGTCTAATGCATCAGGAGCCACTCAAATGCACGCCTGCCCTCTTTTGATGGATGATGTGAAAGTGCTGCCGTGGCTCCTTTTGCAACAGGTTTACATAATAAAAAAAAAAGCCGTAGGGGACATGTGTGCTGTCATGCATTATGCAGAGTGATATGAATAAAACTGAGCTTTAGAAGGAAGGATTGAAACAGTGTGACAGACAGAGACTTTTTGGCAATATTGATGAATCACTACAAGACGCCATCGTAACAGGAGTGCTTTGCCCCCTCTGTGCACAGTTTTCATGTCAGTCGGTTTGCAGCTTTCGTATCTGACTGCCTAAGTATGAGGCTTCAGCTGGACAGACGGAGTCAGAATCACTTATGATTGTATAAATGTTGTGATGCAGGATGCAAAATTCAAAGCCTTGGTGCCATGCAGTTAAAAACACATTGCTTTAAAACATCAGAGTGTTGGATGTGAATGCTATACAGCGTTGAATACACTGACTCTGCAGGCCACTTGGCATGCAGTGGGGCTTTGGCTGTGGAAGCGGTGTAAAGAGCGTTCTTTGACGCAGTGGAGCACTAAATAAGATGCAAGTAAAACATCTGGAGCTTATGGAATATTGGCATAATTCTTAACATAGGAGAAGTGAAATAGTGCATGAAGTAACGTTGCATTATTCAATATTACGTAGTTAATTAGGAAGTAAAGATTACATAACTAATGTGAACAGAAGAAAACCCAATACTTTAATCATATATGATTGGACAAACTTTTTTTTTTGTAACTTAAAACTCAACCATCTTGGGATGATGAAACCACACAAATTCATTAACAACCAAGTTGAGTACAAAAGGAACGTTCCACCAAACCAGCTTTTTGTTGTGTACGTCGAACAAAGTCTTAAAAGAGACACACCGAAACACTAAGTACAACTCTGAGATGACGTGGGCTGCATTTCAATATCTACTGTTTGCGAACAGTTTTTCTTCATGGACAATCTAATATTGCACAACATAAAAGCATATCATCACAAAGAATCCTTATTGGGGGTTTTGTGGGCTTTTATCCCCTCACGTTAACATAAGTGCACCGTAATGTGCAAAATTCCATCCCCCTCACTGTCTACCATTCTGATATGGCAAGGCATCAAAGCCTCAAGAAGACACATGTGCTGTCATCCACAGTGACAGATGCTACTGAAATACTGTCATTTGCCGCCTTCCTACTCCAACCCAGCTTGTCAAACTGGGGGTGGGTTGACCTCACCACAGCTTCGTCCTGCCAAACTCAACCCCTGTATCACTCCATCCATTCTACCCGTCTCCCTCTGCCAAGTGGGAGTAATTGAACAGATTTTTCTACATTATGCTGATGCTTGTGACCTGCCTTTGTGAGGAGGCCTTTTATGAATATCTTTATTGCATCTCTCCTACCGAAGGTGATTTTTCATTTCCATGCCATTACAGATCCTATAGCCTTGTTACTCAGTGAGTGTTATCCCTTTTAGAACTTTTTGGCTCAGATGCGTTATGCTTTAGCGATTAACTGTCATGTCAATAAGAAAACGCATTGCCTGAATGTAACAGCACATTCTGTAGGTTTTATCAGTATATTAGAGCACACATACGGTTGAGCTTGTTTGAAGTATTTTGGGTTCATTCAACAAATGACACATGCAAATGTGCTTTTGTTGTGATTTTCAGAACTTGGATGAACAAAGAAATCCATGAAATTAGAAATGGGAGGTCATGATTTGATGCCAATTTGAGCCTCCTCAGGGAGTGACAGGTGGAAGGCTTTCCCACTGAAACGAATAGCCTTAATTAAAGAATGTGGAATCCTATTTCGCAGAACCTAAAACGCCCTCAATGGACCTTCTGGAAGTCTTTGAGTCTGTCAAGGGATTTAAAAAGTTCTCCAAAATGTTTGAAATGAATCACTGCGCTTTGATGGAAAATCATCTTGGATTTCAAAGGAATGCCACTTTGTCCAAGACTGGCTTCCCCTGCAAATTCAGCCCGAGAGCCAACTTCCAGAGCCAAAAGAAGTTTTAGAGACCTACGAACTTTCAGCGCAGGGTTCACAGATATCTCTGGTTTGGTTTTTTTTTTTTCTGTCTTCAGGTGACAGGATGATTGTTTAGCCTGTTGTATGAACTTTGTTTATGATCTTTCAAAAGTGTAAAAAATATCAAACCTTGTATTTGAATCCATCCTAAGAGGCACAAGTGTACGTTTTTCTCTCAACGTGACGACTTGTGAGTTAAAAGCTATCAATACACATTCAACAAATAGGAGGCAAAGGTCTTTTTAGTTTTAGATTTTCTGTACATGACGATGGCAGACTCGGAGGAGAGATCCATAATTGTCCTGAGCTGTGATGTCTGTTCTCAGCTGCTGCAGCAGTTCTGCATTGGCACATCCAGCATATGGCAAGCCTCCTACAATCAAATCCAACACACACACACACGTACATACATCAGGATGTCAGGGGCTCCTCTCACCATGTCTGACTCAGTGTTATTTGCAGGTGGGTGTTGGGTTTCCCTTCTCTGACTGCGGTGTCCTGTCAGAACAGGAAACTACTCTACATGCTGGGATGTCTCTCAGGGCTCCCAACAGACTCGGGACACTAGAATTCTTTGATTATCTAAACCATGCGTGCATGTAAAGAAAATGTCTACAGGAACATAATATCTTTTACTCAGGGATCTATGCCCCCCCGAGGACAACTTTTTAATAGTACTGTAGATGTGACATGACTTTCAAGTCTGGGCAGAGCTGGTTTGGAAGAAATGTTTTACCCTGAAGTCATTTCAAGTTACACAGTGAAAGTTTTGTGCTCCTATTTGTTTTTTTTGTCAACTTGCGTGTGTGTATATACATGTAATACCGTATGTAAATATACATATACGGTATGTTTACACAGTAAAGATGTTGTCAGCCAGCTACTTAGAGGGGCACTTTGACAGCGTTTCTGCTCACCTTTTGCTTTTTGCTTTTTGTTATGGTTCATTTTCAGTGCTCTGAGTCACACAGTGCCCACAACGTGCAACTTTACCACACTGTGTGAGTAAGAACAGAAATGATCCCTGAACTTACATGATGTCCAAAGGTAATGAAGAATTCAAAACAATTGACCACTACTGTCGGTATGTGACCATGGTTATCAGGCAATAGTTGAGCATTTTGCCATCTAAAGCCACGTATATCTGAAAAGAGGGTTGGAACCATCACTTAGCTTAAAGGACGGTAAATTGTACACTCCACCACTTAGGCTACAAGGTCTGTCTATCTATGGCATATATTGATTCTATGAACATGTAATCATTATAGCTTTATGGGCGTGAGAATTCCTTCATCTACCCATTCATACTTCTTTTCTAGCATCTGTGGTCACGCCATGTTATACGATTAGGTTACGGGAGAAGATGTGGAGGACCATATATGGAGAATCAATGCACATAATCTGAACATCTGCAGAGGGCCATTGCAGGGTGATCAATGTACAACAGCTTTGCTTGCCATCACAATGTGCACAAATTGCATTTTGACTCTGCATCAAAGGAGTTCAGGTGCTCATTTGTTCTGATTGTGCTGAAACTGAAGCCTGCGTGCAACACATCCGTCGCCAAAGTTTTCAGCAACCAAGAGTCAACATTTTAAACACACACATTCAGACACAAAAAAGCCTACAGTAATCTTAGCATTTGTTATAGGAGGAAGTTATGCAATACAAGTCAACATGGTCTTGTCCCACCTTTTTTAAAGCATAAAGAAGCATATTCAATATCATTTATTGGTGAAGTTATTTGGAAATCTTATGAAAAGATTTTTCATCAAAGCATCTCAGTTTTTGGCCTGCAACTGCATGAACAATGGAAATTCTATGCGGCAACACCTTGCATCTTTGTCGAGTGGTTGCCAGGAGTATGTGAAATACTACCCTGTTTAGGTGTAATTTGAGATCATTTGAACAACTGTCATGCTGCTCTGTGGCATTGTGTTGGGTTCACTGTTGCTTTTTCTTGCCTGGAACACATACTTTGCCATTTTCAGTCTAATGGCACACTTTCTGGGCCAACTGTGCCTTGAAAAAATGTGGAAAACCACCAATTGAAAAGGAAAAAATGACAGAAAGTGGGTGCATAAAAATAGCGAGAGCTCCCGCTCTGAAGCACATCTCCTAGAAACAATAGAACCGTAACGGCTTGAAGAGTGTAACCAAGGGGAACCCGTCCTTTTAGAGTAAAAAAAAAAGGAGACATTTTTTTTCTTTGTTGTACCCTTTTTCGTTTTTAATAGCACTTCTCTGAAGTAATTATAGGTCTTGTTTTTAATGGAGTCCCTTTGTTGCTTATCCAATAATCTGTATAGTGTGAGGTGGATGCCTGGTGTGCATGTGATGTGGTGAAGGCAATCAGACAGGAATGACTTCAGTCAGCGGTGGTACCACTGTGTACCAGTGCAGACTGGCCCCTGTTATATCAGCTCGTGAGATATAGCATATCTTTGCTTGGGAAACCCTTACACTGCAGCATGCACAAACAGCCTCACACACACACACACACACACACAGACTCACATATGGTCCAGAGGCTTATCTCATATAAATTGTGAATTTCTGGGGGTAATGGGAAATGCTGATGAGACACGGAGCACAAAGAGGACAAGCTCCAGCCAAGATTACTTCAGTTGATTAAGAAATAACAAGTGATAGAAAACGGTCAATTCTACACCCGGATTGCGTCGCCTGCTATGGATTGTGTGTATTTTTTTCTCTTCAGCAATGATGATTTTTCTTTTGCACCTCAGTAGTTAGTATAAAAAGTCATTCCTTTATGTGAGACATGCGTCTGGTGGGCCAACTGTCAGATCAGTATCAATGCAAAGACACACGGAAACAAGAGCCTATCCGCAGTCTTCTCAGAAAGCCATTCGATGGAGACTTGATGAGATTTTTCCCCTGGAACGGAACACTACAATTCAGTCCAATTATGAACAATCACAGGTGAAAACCTCAGAGTCGTTTTACAGCAGGAGCTGCAGGAACAAGGAATAATCCATCAGATTTTTCTCATTTTCACGCTTGACCTTTTTTTAAAACTAAATTTAGATTTATTTCATTACTGCTCTGACAGTGTCAACCGGAAAAGTGCTCACTTACGGCTTTAAAATCACCCTGCATGATGCAATTAGCCTACCGTTCACTCTAAGTGGAGGGGCTCTGTATTTTCATCACGGGATGACATTATCGAGACTACTCTAGCTGTGTTTCGGGAGAATTGTGTCCCTCTGGACTAAATCTGCAGGGTATAAATCTAACTCTTCTCTTTACACTAAATGAGCTCTATGCAAGATTGAGAACACACAACTTCCCCGACCAGAATAGATTAACAATTACACCACAATATGGAGCCAAATCTTGTGAAACAGTGGCTGAGAATGAATTGTTTATGATGTTGGCTTTGGAAGAATAGCAGAATGAGAGAGAAAGACGCAGATGGCAAGGATCAAAACAGGAAAATCCATAAAAGAAGCTGAGGATGACAGATGAGACGGAAGCAAGCAGAGTCTACTTCTTATTATAGCAGGAGAGAAAGTCTGTGCAAACAAGTACCGGCAAGTGGATTAGTTGGTAGAAGCATCAGCATTTGCTGTGTTCTTTTGGCACTCTAGATACTTTTTCTTGTACAAAGTTAAATGATCTAATCTAAATAACAGCCAGTCTGGCTGGAATACAAAGATGATACCTGTAAAAAAAGTGGATTCTCCCTTTGATGGAAGCTGGATTGGAAATTTCTTCATCACTGCTAACAGAATTACATGTGAGGTAGAGGAGGTAGGAGACGCAAGTTGGGACCTGACACGACATTTAATTCATAGCTGGTGAAGTGTGAACGCATGTACAAATACTTCTATTAACGTACATCAGATAAATGCTGATATCATCACGAGCAGAGCCGGTTTTCAGCAAAACGCATAAATTGGAATTCTGAACTGGGAATACTACCACAAGGTTGGTTTATATTTGGAAAAGCTGTAGATAATACAAAACAATAATGAGTGCTTTCACATCAACTGTTTAATTCTGCAACTGTCTGATCTTTTGGTTAGTTTTTAAGTTTTCATTTTGTACATCTAGAGTCAATATAAACTGGCATTAAAGTATTAAACATCTGGCCTGTATTTGTCCAATCAAAAATAATCTACAGTGTCTCTTAACACCAAGAAGTTAAGAAAGAGCAAAAGGGAACTGCCTAACTATAAATAACTTAATTTCTGTCCAATGTCATTTCCCCCCCCAAATCCTTGGATATCCTCAAGATTTACGGAGGATTATTCAAGGTGAAGAAAATGTCTTCCTGTGTGCCCGCTGAGCTGCCAATGTCAAACACAGCAGTATTCACTAATCCCTGCCTTAGAGCACTCAATTGTATGGGTGCAAACATGGAATTTCTGAAATGACCGAGAGGGGTTGAACTTCTCTTATTTCAATTTCCTCTGCACATGGAAGATTCCCAGTCTTGCAGGCCTGCATAAACAATGGGCAGATGTAGTTCATGTGGCACATATAAACAGACCCTGACTCTCACGTGCAAAAGTTTAGGTGGATTATATGTACCCTCTCTGTGGAGGAGGCTCCCATCCATGCATAGGCCTACACACAGATTTTCACAAATCAGGTCAATACTGCACCTCTTTCAAGCTGCCCGTTTGTTTGGGATGAAAAAGAACTGTGGAGCCCTAAAATGTTAGAGTCCTGCTGCTCATTATAACTTTAGCCCGAACATATGTGCTCTATCTGTCTGTTTCGTATGCTGGACTTGTAAATTTAAAGTGTTTTTCCTTCAGTTTGCAGAAGGAATGTCCAAAAACCCTCCGTACGTTTCTGAATGCGTTTCAGTCTCTGATGCATTGGTCAGTAGAGACATTTTTTAAAGTAGTTTATGAGAATGACATACAAAATCTATTTTCTACAATTTCACTTAAAAAGTGTTAACATAGCCTTAAAAAAAGTTAACAGTGCCTTAGACAGAGTTTCTCTTTTTCATAGTATGTCACCTACTGAATGAGAGCAGGTATTTGTTAAGACGGCAACATGCAAAAACTACTTGTCATAGATTTTCTAAAAGCTTGTTTT